AGCCGAGTGATGTTTGTTGGAGTTTAGGGATAGGATTGGAAGGGTAATGCTGTTTAATGGATGCAGATTTATTCATATTTTAAGATAAAGAGTTCTGGAAATGGCTATGGCAAGATTAACTTCATTGAGCCACACTCCTGAAAATGTGTGACTCATTTAATTGCATGTTTTGTTCATGGGACCATTACAAACACTGTGAAGAAATAGACACGTTTCAGCATACCACAGAGGTAATAAGTAAAAGGAAAGAATAGAACACAGAAGGTCACAGGTCATAAGAATGTGAGAGGATATTTGCAGTATCCGACAAAAGACCTATTAAAGTTCATTTTAAATAAATATAAATAAATAAGGAGAAAGTTTAAAGGCAACAGCAATAACACAATACCACCACAGCAAACATCAAACAGGTACTTCATGTCTTGAAGTAAACTAACAGGTGTGTTCAGAAGTATTCATCACCAGAAAAGTACAATGACATCACTTTGTGGCATCCAGACACATCTTCAAGACGGTTTTAATTTAAAAAATAGGAAATGGAAAAATTGACATTACCATGAATAAATTTGATCTCCAATAACTGTGACAGCATTATTTGTTACAATTAACCTAGAAAATTAGCTTATCAATAACTGTTCAGGCTGTCTTTACCACAAGCTCTTGATTTTTAAGTGTATGATAGACAGGAATGACTAAGTATACTCTTAGAAGATGAATAACAACATCCATTGTTCTGCTATTGATGACATCTTAGGATTGGATACCTAACACCCAATGTCCCAAATGTCTTCCAACAGTAGAAACCATAAATGTTGCAATTTTCACACAATTAAGTAACATTCATCAATAAGAACAATACTCGTGAATTTCAGAACAAATAATATGCAGAATTTGTTTTTATTTAATATTCTAAATTTGTGTAAATTAATCTCAGAAGTCAGACACTCATACTCAAAGTCATTAGTGGTTAGACTCAGGCACAAACCTGTAGAAGAGGCATCTCAGGATGCTAGTAAATATTCTGTGTGCTTTGAGTGCTTCTACACAGATGCCTTCATTTGGTGAAACAGTCCCAAGCAATACAGTTTAAACTGTCTGGAGCTTGAGTAGAAGAGCTTTATTTTTGCAATCCAGACACTGTTTTCATGAGTATGTCAACTTCCTAAAAGGTAATTAACATATGCATGTATAACTCATTAATTTTAAGACATGTATTCAAAGCAAGTTTATATATAACTTTAAATATAACTGACTAGAATGTAAGTAGAAATGTTATATATTATGTAACTAGACTAATATATATTTCTATTTATATATCTAGAAAATATTAAATATCACTAGGATGTAAGTATAAACCACATAAAATGTAACTACAAAAAATATATAGATGTTTCTATCTACAAATCAGCCTTGGCTATCGCAAAACGGAATTGAAATTGAATAGAAATAGAGCACCAAACTCTTCTCCATGACAGCTGGAGAAACAGCTTCTAGGACATTCTCTTGGGATGATGACCAAGGTTTACCTTTGTCCTACTTCTCCCTTCACCACTTACCAGGTGACCAACTCTGTAAATACAAGGGAAGAGAAAGAGGGAGAAGAGTTACCAGTTTGAAAAGTCTATATTTACCTTGGCCCTTGGAGATTTTATTTTAAATCTACCTTTCTTTACTTACCATTTTAAAAGTCTCTCTAGCCCCCTTGAGAATTATTGTTCAAGGAGTTTGGTCGCTTGAATTTAGCTTTGACTGAATTTACAAAAATGGTCCAAATAAAATGTTCACTGGGAGTGCTCCATGGAGATCAGCTGGGTGCACACACACAGCACACTCATTCTCAGGCTGACTCCGGAAGGAGTCTGAGCAAAGCTTCTAGCAATCCCCAAATAGATTAAAAAAAATTCAATATACTCCAAAAATCCAGAGGAACTGAGACTGGTAAATTTAGATTCCTTTCAGCAACAGTTGGGATGTTTGAGTTAACATTTTTTTAAAATTAACTTTGAGGTCTTGAAATGAAAAAGAAATATTCTTTCTATGGGATGAACTATTTTAAATCACTCAGCTTTTTATTAATTCACAGACTACTGTGTAGATTACTGTTGGTCACATAGCTACAAAGCCTTTCAACATATTTCAAAGTAAGCAGAAAAAGCCCATTGTATTTATTTGTGCACTTTACAGTATAGATAAAATAATCAGTCATTATGACAGATTCCTAATGTTTTCAACATTAATTGTGTCTGCATGATTAGAGTCCCATAAGGGTCTCACTTGAGACTGTGTTGATAAAGTAAAAAATATTTAAAACTGTTGTCATATATATATATATATATACATATATATATAAAGACTTGGCTTTCTAGCTTTATTTTGCTTTAATACTAATGTCCCAGTCTAGTGTTAGATGTTATATGATTTTTGAAATATTCTCTTGACTAAAAAATTTTAATGGAAAAAGTTGTCTCTTTGGAATTGCATCACAGCTTTGGATCTCTGTCTCATTCAGTTTTTATTATATTTCTTCTCACTGAGTAGACAGTTTCTTGGATGATATATGATTACTGTAAGAAAACCCATAGATGATAAAATATCAACCACAAATTTACACAAATATTTAATAACACGTTAAGTAAAACAGAGATCAGAAGAATATCAACGTCAGTAGGAAGCTGATTTCTCTCATCTATTGACTCTGTAACCATAGTTGGTATTGCTATGCCTTCTCCTCCCCTTTCTGGCTCTTACTACCCACCTGAGGATAATCTTGAACTTCTGATCCTTCTGCTTCCCCCTCACATATGCTAATATTACAGCTTTGCACCCCACATCCAGTCTATGTGGTGCTGGGGATCAAGCCCGGGGATTCCTGCCTACTACAGAAACTCTTCAGCACCTGAGATACACATTTTGTTCTGATTTTTTTCATTCATTCTTTAATAAAATAGAAACAAACCAAGTAGGCAACCATAACAAAAATCCTTTTCCCTTTAGCATGTTTCAGGGAAACATAGATTCTTAGCAGAATTATCACAATGTCAGTAAGGGAATGAAGAGTAAATTCAAACAGGAGAAAAGGGAAATTTATAAAAGAAGGACACTTTGAAGTAGACCCTGGATCTGGGGACCAAAACAAACAATGAACAGGCAGAAAGAATTCAAGACTATGCTGGATTTTTTAAAAAGTATTTTAACTGATACATGAGAGCATAAAACTTGGGAAATACTGATAAGTAACATGAAGTGATTATATACGCATATAAACATATATACATTATGTATGTATGTATATGCTAACATTTAAACCACACTAAACATATTACGTTTTTAAGAAAACTGAAAATCTTTTTTTTAAATACTGATTTTGTCTATAACCACCCTGCTACACGCACTAGGAGCCCTTGCTTTGGTCACCCGCTGGGAGGTGAGGCAGAGAGAGAGAGAGAGAGAGAGAGAGAGAGAGAGAGAGAGAGAGAGAGAAGTGAAGTTGGAAAAAAGGGGTTCTGGGAGCTGTCCAATGTACCGAGCGCTTCCCACCGAAAAGAACCTTTGTCTTCCCTGATTCTCCCTGAAATCAAAAAGTCTCCGTTTAGATATCTGTCGCTTGCTGTTTCTTCTGACCTATCTTTGAAATTGTTCTTCAGCGTGTGGTTTGCCTCTGTGTGCTTTTACAGACCTCAGACCTCAACCCTGCTTGGTTAACTAAAGCCATCAGTAAACCAAAAACTGGAAAGGAGAGTTTCTGTGTGAAACTCGGGATATACAAAAATCAGTAAAATTTCATTCTTAATGTATCAGATTTACAATCTCTTGCAATTCTGTGGCTAGCCTCCGACTTTCCTTTAAGAAGAATTCAGTAAGGTATAATTCTCCCTTACTGCGGGCGTGCAAACGAATGGGGCGGGGGAGCACAGATCAAAGTGTTGGGTTTTTCTTTGTTCAAGAACAAATACTAGACTGGCAATTTAAAAGTTCGAAGACTGATTCCTCTACAGAGGGTGACCTGAGGCTAAATCGTGTTTTTCAAAAGAGGCTTGTGGGTTCAGGGTGGGGGGAAGGAGGCAGGGACACCACATGGGTACGGAGCTGCTTTGTTACCTAAGGAGTAATCATACGGTAAAGGGTATATACAGCAAATGTTCCGAGTATCCATTTTTTTTATTTCATTATCACCATAACCTTTTCCGTCAGACACAGCCCTCCACTGTAGAGAATAAGGCCAGGACAGTAAAGTCAAGTATCACAATTGTCAGGCTGATTGTGCCCAAGCGGGCTTCAGAAGTCTGGGTCTGTAACCAGGCAGTGAGTTGTTTGCGGTGCCCTAGAAGCAGAGAAAACACCGGTTCCAACAGAGACACTGGGGAATGCGCCCGGGCCCCCTGGTCATGCTTACTTAAGCTAATGGAAGGTCTTGCCTTTCAGCAGCCGCTGCACTGGGATACCAGACAAACAGCTCCCCTCGACCCCTGGCTGGAAGGGCCCCTCTTCTGGACATCATTAAAAGCGCAAGCACTTGCTTCATATCCATGGGCAAATGGCGGCAAGATTCGGGGCTCCCACCCTGAAGCCAAGGAGAAATCATCACTGTGGAAAGATTTGGACGTTGAAGATCCAAACCGAAATGAAAGACCTACACGGAATAAGGAACCAAGAGAACCTTGTCTGGATACAGGGGTGAGACCAGACACAAAAGCCCAGCAGGTAAAAACTGGGGGTTGCTGCCAAGAAGGAACTGCCCTGCTCGGTACTGCAGAGGAAAAAATTCTTGGAACCTGAAAGCCTGTTGCTTGAGCCGTCTATGAGTGCTCAAGCCTGTCATCTTCTATCAGTTTCCAGAAAAGCGTCTTTGTCCCAGCCTTCCCTCTCCCTGCGAATAATCCTTCCGGCTTAATATCTCCCCGCGTTTGGTTAAGATGCGCCTGAAGAGTCAAGGCCATTAAGAAGCCCCATCCGCTGCTATGCCCTGGAAGCAAGAAAATCAATGGTACAGTCAATGAGCGATGGCCACCTATCCTGAAAGCTGCTTGGAAGCTACCATGCTGAACTTCGTCGCAGATCTCTCTTTGGCCTCTCCGAGACATCCTCTTCTCTGCGACTTCCCGCCTGGGGTCCCTTTTGGGGATGGAACACTGGGGTTCAGAGAGAGAAGAGCCAGGAGACTGTCGCAATTTGAGGAAACAGACCAGGAGGAAGAGGGGGGAGAAGTGGTCTATGTGGACCGGGAGGAGGAGGAAGAGGAAGGAGAGGAACGCGGGAGAGTAGCATCCTTGCTGGGCCGTCCCAAAAGGAAAAGGGTCATCACCTACGCTCAGCGTCAGGCGGCCAACATTCGTGAGAGGAAGAGAATGTTCAACCTAAATGAGGCGTTCGACCAGCTGCGCAGGAAAGTGCCCACCTTCGCTTACGAGAAGAGACTGTCTAGGATCGAGACCCTTCGCTTGGCCATAGTCTACATTTCCTTCATGACGGAGCTCCTGCAGAGCAGCGAGAAAAAGGAAGTCCGCTAAGCGTGGACGGGAGGAGGGCCGAGGAGGACCACCACTGCCCTGCTCGCGCCTTTCTTGGAGGGGAGCATTTGAAAGGCAGAGGGACCGCTGGTCTTCTGAGCCTGAGTTTGAGATGGTAAAACCAGCACTACTGACGGATTGTGCACAAAAGGGTTTCATAGGGTTGAGCTGGACAAGTTGGGGGTCCCCGCGGTCAAAGGCGCTAGGGCTTCTGAGTGGAGTGGGTGGCCTTTTCTGAGCTTCCCTAGAGATTCCTCCTCCTTGCTTCTTTCAAAAGTGTAAAAAATAAAATAGAACTTTTTCTCACGTACGATTCCTTGCTGCCCCATCGCCATCTCCAGCAGGGGCTTTACTGTGGCCAGTGCGGGTGAGTTCACCTAAAAAGCCCAGGCGGCTACTTTCTCTGGGTACGGAAAGCTTTGCAGGGGCTCGGTCCTCTCAGACTAGTTAGGGGGAGGGAGTGGGCAAAGGGGATGAGCTTAAATTAGGAGGGTAAGGTCACCAGACCAGCTCACAAAATGCAACCTCTGAGAAGGACCGCTCTCCCTCCCTCATTGTGCCCCCCACTTCTGGGTGCTGTAACCCCAATCTTCCTGTCAGGCGGACCCCACTTTGTCACAAGGCAGAATGCCTCAGAGTTAAAAGCAGCCCTTTCAGTGAAAACCACCATTCTGGGGCGGGAGGTGGGGGTGGGGAAGGATTCCTCCCGCCCCACACTCTCAGGGGGGCCTCGGGATTAGCACTTCCCACAGTTTCCAAGAATAAGAGCTGCTACCTCTTAAGGAGTCAGGTAATCCTGCGCGCCTAAAACACAGACTTAAATCGTGGATAGGAAAAGTTTCTCCCAGTCTTCAACCACGTAGGGACTATTGCGAAGGCAAATAGCCAAAAGGAGAGCTGCGTTTTAATGTTTTGAAAATGCCTGCAGGTGGGAATTGAAACCGGTTTGTTCTGAGAGGGTACCTTACCAGATCCTCTGTTAACTGCATTTCTTCCTCCTGAAAGACCTGGAAGCACCTGAATCTGGAGGTCAGTGAGGAAAGGAACCCAGCTGGAGCACTTAATTGTCAACCCATTCACTCCAATGATAAATCCCAAAGAAGAGATGCCTGGTTTTGCCCATCAGTCGTAGCGAGCTTGCGCAGCGCGATGTTCTGTCGTCCTCCAATAATAGTAACATGGAGTACCAGATAAGCTCTGTCTAAAAGACTGAAAAATGTAATTTTAAAAACTTAAAGATGAAATGAACATTTAAATAAGCCCCCACTGCTAATGCTACTAGAACCTTCAACCTGGTTCCTTCTGTTCTCTTATTTCCTACGCAGTTAGAAAGTCAATATATGTAACAAATTTGTAATATTCTGGAACATTGATTTTTCCATTAGAATTATGGAATGGGCACTTCACCCACTTTAAATACTAGAGGGGATTTCCATTGCTATATACTACTGCCTTGCCAATGTATCCCAGCATAATCTCCTTCCTTTACAGGTGGCTAGCTCAGCACTTTCTCTTTTTTCATAAAAGGTTACATTGCAAACAGTGTTCCTATCAACGTTTATCTGTTATAATCACTTGTGTTAGACACTTACAGTTCCTACATCACACAAGTGACTGAATTCCTCCCTGGACTCTGCCAGTTTGCATTCCCTTTCAGCTACAACACTGCAGGAACATCTCCTGTTAGCACCCAGAACATTCTTCCTCCCACAAGGGAGCTTGTCATTCTTTGAATCTAATTCTTTGAATTTAATTCTCTTTGATTCTCATGGTGGTTATAGATGCATCTTAAGAAAGCTTACTATGGCTTTCTGAGGTTGGTATTAAGGCCCAAGTGTTTCTGAGCACTTACAGATACTAAAGCACAAAGCCACACAAAGCTACAAAATGTCATGTACCAACTGCACTCATTTTACATTTGGATGGATATTGATATCATTGAGAATTATATGACAGAAACCAGTCTTGAAATATGTTTCTGATGCTATACGAATAGGATGGGAAAATAGTCTGGCAGATGATATAGGCCAGTAAATTACAACGATGTCAATATTATTCTACTTTAGTGAATAATAATTGCTTCATTGTTCTTTTTGTCATTTTATTTCAATGCACTCCATATTTTTTAGTTGAATATACTTGAAAAGTTATCTTCTGGGCATTCAAGAGTGATTGAATTAAGCTTGAAAGGCAAGATATACAGACATGGACATTAATTCATACTTAGAATTACATCTCATTGCATCTTTCAATGGATAATGGAGAGGTGCCATGACTTCTGAGTGCCCAGTCTGCCTCCTAATAATGAATTAGAAATCCTGTAAAAGTCCTTGAAAATAGATTATGTAAATTTAGCATTAATATGTGGCTAATAACATTGACACTATATTATGAAATATAATTACTAAATAGTAGTAAATCTCTTTGGACACAGAATAGCGTACTTTATTTATATGTAGTTAAGAGTTATTGATGCTTAAATCTTTTACAACCTTTCCTTCTGCCCCTTTTGCTGGGACTAGGTAAGGTCTGCAGTTGGTGCCTTTTTCCAATACCTTTTTAACTATGTCTTTCCCTCAGGATGTTTTCTACCTCTGCCATATGAATGTCAGAATAAACTGAAAAGAGAAAAGGTATAAGCATCTAAGCCAAACACTAACAAAACCAGGGAGGGTAGTTTTTGTAATGATCTAGAAACTTTATTAAAATGAGCTCAGTCAAAAGACTGAGGGTGTAGCTCAGTGGTAGAGTGCTTGCCTGGAGCATACCAGGCCCCAGGCTGTGGGTTCAATCCCCAGCACTTCTAAAATGGACTGAGTCTTAAAAATGATTTTACATTGGATTTATAAAATAATGTTCTTAGCTCCTCTTTGTCATGTTTTCATTACCAAGGCTGGTATATTCTGTGTTTTAAGATACTTTTGTAATTATTCATTTTCATATGTGAAGGGAAAATAGCTAGTTGTTTCTCAACTCATCAAATGGTATTGCTCATATGATCTAGTAGGTCAACAAATACCCATACTATCCAATTATTTATTTGTTTAATCAATTGTTTGCCTTTTACAGATCAGGTGGATTGGTTCAAAATTGAAGAGTCTATAGAATATCTCTTCATTCAGGTCTTTCTGGGAAATAAATAACAGTTCAATTTTTTATATGTAAAGTATGAGGCTGGAGAGATGGTGACTAACACTGCCTGTTTTCAGGAAGCTCAGTTCCATTCCCAGGACCCACATGGTGGTTCACAACTGTAGGTTCAGTTCCAAGGGACCTGACACCCTCTTCTGGTCTCTGAGGACACCGTATGCATGTGATGCACAGACATACATTCAAGCCAGAACATCCATACACATGAAGTAATACAATTAATAAACATAGATGAAACTCTACAAGTGTTGAATAAGTAAAAGGAAACACAGAGTTCAGAATTTTACATGTTATAGGAAGAAAAATTTAATCTGGAGGGAAAATGCCCTATGCAGTCTAACAGACTTTAGCATCACTTATCTTAATGAGTGTAGTGGTCAACCATCATGCTCGATCATTTCTGCTAGCCCAACATTCTCTGCTATGATCATAGCCAACACATGCTCTTCCTACATGGAATTTCTCTTCAGGAGTAAATGGTATCAATGAACTTCTACATGGAAAGCTAGTTTTCATTATTACTAAAAGAATTACAACCACCATTACTTAAACTGTTATATCTGACAAGTATTTTGCTCTTTGTAATTCTACATGTCCCCCAAAGGCAATGTTTTTTAAAGCATTTTCATAACCACCAAACTAATGATATATTTTAAACCCTTGTAATGACCATAGACTCTGAAAAATTGAATTACTTAATCCTAATACCAAATCATTCTTAGGAATAAGACAAAATGATTCATAGCCCAACATTAAAACCTGTGTGCCACTATGTTTGACTCTAAATATCTAGACAGTGTGTTCTTATTTTGGTTTTATCTGTGTATAATTTATACAGCCAATGTACATTAAACAAAAACTACCTTAGTATGTCAAAATTACTTTATTTTTTATTATCTACAATAACATTAATGAACTATCATAGGACCTTGGGTTTTAATAACTTCTACTACCTTAAAAGGGCCTAATGCCATCAGTTCTAAAATGTGACAATAATTGGTTTTTGAAATGCTAATGTTATTTGATCATTTTGAGTCTAAATATCGTTTTAGATGTTGCTTGGAGGCAATTTATCCATACACCCTCTACACTGAAAACTGACTTCTGGTCTCGAGCTCAGTTCTCCAGGAATATCAGGTTACTATTAGTATTCAGACATTCAAACCATAAAAAGATCTAAATGAAATCATATTTGAAAGACATAATTAAGCCTTCCAAGAAAAGTAAAAATAATCAAGAAGCTTTTCCACCAACAGAGGAATGTTTAGACTGATCAGCCTTACTGTTTGCTACCCAACTCAAAGGCAGATTCTGGCAAAATTAGCACTGAAAATAAAACCAAATATTCAACTATTGTGCACAGCTTTGCATGAACTTTCAATTAAGACCCTTGCATTGGTGCCTATTATCATATGTGTTTGCATTTCCATTATGAAAAATAGTTTATAGAAAGTTTATAATGAAGTTCTAAAAATACTGAGATTCAATTTAATACGCAAAATTTTAAGACACCTTTTCTAATTAACGACAGATCTTCAAGAGGAACTTCCAAGACACGAAGCCAGAGTTACATTTTACATACATTGCTCCAAAATGTACCTACACTTTAAAATGCACTCAAAAAATATGAATTATATCTCACTGTTTTATTTTTACCAACTAGAGGTAACAGAGCCATATTAAATGTTAAGTGCTCCACAGACATTTTGCAGCAGAGACTAGTTCATTAAATATTATTTGTTCTGATTCTTTTAGAAAAGAGATATTTTTTCTATATATTTGTAGCTCGGCTCAAGTTCATTCAGATTTTCTTGAACTTTGCCAGTAATTTAAGGGAATTCAGACCCAAG